AAAAAAAGAAAAGGCAAAATCTTGGGACACACACAAAACAAAAAATTTCACTAGCTGTTATTAGGTTTGCTAGTTGTACTACTATAAATAAGATATCATCTGTGCCTTAACCACGGGTTCTCCCGCGGGTAATAATATCAGCAGATGCATGGGTAACAATCTCGTTACCCATGACACAGGAGAGAACAGACCTTTCACAGAGAGGTTCTGATGGCAGTGATAAGCTACCTACTATCAAATTTTCACAAAAAAGTATCACAGAAGTCAAAACAAAAGTTCTCTTAGAGATAGAAAATGACAAAAAGAAGGAGCAAATTACAATCTCAGGCCCCAAGCCCACCCAGGACAAACCCAGAAGATATCAGTAGAGAAGAAATTGGAAATCACACACCTGAAATCTCCGAAATAATAGCAACTGAAGTAAAAAAACAACTGCAGAAACATGTAGAGGAAATCAGCTCAGAAATAATCTCCCAGGTTAAAAAAAAAAAAAAAGAAAGAAATGATAACTATAATGCAAGAATTACTAAGTGTCTTTAAAGAAGATATTGATTAAAAAAGAGAATAGAAAAATGATGAAAACCTTGAATGAACAATATAGGAAAAAAATAGAATTCATGAAACAGATTCAAAAAGATATACAGGAAATTTAAATCTCCATTAAAAGTTGGCAAAATTGGGCTGGTGAGATGGCTCAGTGGTCTAAAGCACCTACTTACAACAAGCTTAGCAAAGCACAGGCACCACGGCTCAATCCCCCAGGACCACATGTCAGCCAGCCCCACCCCCTGGTGGGCTGAGCTGGCCACACACACACACACACACACACGCACACGCACACGCACACATAAATAAATAAAAATTTTTTTAAAAGTTGGCAAAACTATTTAAATAAAAGTGAAAATAAACTTTCAGACCTTGAATACAGATAGCAAACAAGTAAGGAAAGATCTCTTAAGAAAAACAAGGATCCAGGAATTAATAGTTCAACAGCTGCAAGACGAAGCAAGGATGAAAAACTTAAGACTAATAGACATCAATGAGAAAGAAAGAGCTGGGGCCAGAGAGATAGCTCAGTAGAATAAGCACTTGCCTGGAAAGCACAAGGGCCTGAGTTCAATCTCCAGTTCCTAAAAAAAAAAAAAAAAAAAGAGCTTACACAAATGACATAAAAAGAATATAGGCAAGGAAGCAAAAAACTTCCCAAATATGGAAAAACAACCTGAAATCAGTAACAGAGGCACATAGAACTCCAAATACCAACCCAAGTAAATCTACACCCAGACATATAATAACCAAGATCCCAGAAATCAGCACAAAAACAACATAGTAAAAGCTGCTAGAGAAAATAAACAGATCACATTGAAAGGAAAACCCATCAGAATAACAGCAGACTTCTCAGCCCAAACCATCAAGTCAAGAAGAGCATGGAGCGAAATATTCCAAGTGCTACAAGAAAACTAATTCCAACCCAGACTGATATACCCTGCAAAACTGTCTTTCAAAACCAATGGAGAAGTAAAACACTTTCATGGCAAGGAACAACTAAAAAAATCATGACAACCAAACCAACCCTACATGGAGTACTAAAAGATATCCTAGGAAGGGATCAAAATGACCACAACTCCAAGAACAACAGCAGAAAGAACTCACCACACAGGGCAAACAGAAACAGAAAAAATAGGGAAGCAACAACAGGAAAATAACATGACAAACATAAGCCAATAGATATCAATTATAATCATCAGTGTAAATGGACTCAGTTCATCAATTAAAAGATACAGATTGGCAGAATGGATCAAGAAACAAAAAAAAAAAAAAAAAACATACAAACAACCCTTCAGTGAGAAGAAAGATTTGTACTAATAGTGTTTGGACAAGATACTATGTCTGCATCTTGTACTCTGAATACCTACTGCAAAGACAGCAATATGCAATGTATTAATTATTGTAACTGTCCTACTATCCTGTTTTGAAACTGTCTCATTGCTATTTGTTTCTCAATAAAATTAATTTTAAAAAGAAACAAAATCCAACAATATGCTGTACACAGGAGACACATTTAACTCCCCAAAAATTTGTAGGCTGAAAGTCAAAAGATGGAAAACAATACTACCTGCTCCAGAAGCTCAGAAAAAAAAAAAAAAAAGGATATCTATTCTGTTTGCAAACAATCCGAACTTCAAACCAAGAATAATTAAATGAGATAAAGAAGGTCACTACATACTTGTTACAGGGAAAGTTTCAAGAGGAAGAGATAACAGTCATAAATATGTATGCACCAAATATAGGAGTATCCAACTATATAAGACAAATTTTAAAGGACATGGAAAATCTAATAACCAAAACCACAATCTTAACAGAGGACCTTAACACCCCCTTATCTCAAAAAGATAGGTCAAGTAGACAAAAAATTAGCAAAGAGGTAGCAGAACTTAACCAAACCTTTGAACATATGGACTTAATGGACACTTATAGAGTATTCCACCCAACAACATCTGAATACACATTATTTTCAGTTGCACATGGACATTCTCTAAAATAGACCACATACTAGTCCATAGATCATGCTTAAGTTAATGCAAGAAAACATAAATTATTCCATGCATATTCTCTGGTCACAGTGCACTTAAACTACAAATTAATGACAAGGGGCCAGTGAGATAGCTCAGTGGACTAAAGCACCTTCTTAGGCAAGCTTAGGCAAGTACAGGGACTGTGGTTTGATCCCTGGCACCACATGCCACACCAGCCCCAACCCCAGGGTGGACTGAGCCGGCCACAGAGTCTGGGCGTAGTGGTGCACCCCTGTAATCCCAGTGCTGGGGAGGATGAAAGCAGGAGGATCTCTACAAGTCCATGCTGTGTAGCGAGACCCTGAAACAGCCAAATAGATTTTTAAAAAAAGAAAAAAAAAAAACACTAACAAAATACCCACAAAAATCCAAGAAACATAGGGAAATTAAATAACACTGTCCTTAGTAAGCAAAGGGGTATAGATGAAATTAAACAAGAAATTAAACAATATCTACAATCCAATGAAGATTCAAACATGATTTACTGGAATTTGTGGGATGCAATGAAAGCAGTTCTCAAAGGGA